AAAGAAGGATAGAAATGACACCAGGAATAACCCCCAATATAAAATGGAATTACCAAAGACCCAGATAAGGGAGGATATAAAGAAATCTAATATTGTCATGTTGTATAATACACTTAGGATCCGAACAGAGTAAAAACTCTTCCAAGAAAAGGCCAGTGATTCTGTCTATTCTATCTGGAGTTAGATTATAATAGTCTTATCAGGAATTTAACGCAATCCTGGGAGGCAGTGGAAGACAGGAGGGCCTGGCATGCTCTGGTCCATGAGGTCACGAAGAGTCGGACACAGCTAAATGACTAAACAACACATATTACAGCTTCCTACAAGTGCATCAAACACAACCATAAGGCTGGAAGCTGGGCTAGTAACTGTTGAGGCCAGGCTATGGATAGCTGCTGTAACATATTGGCTAAAATCGAATCATATTCCTCAGGGCTAGTTCATTTGACATTGCAAGATTGCTTTGTCACCACATGGTGGAAAACGCTGGAACATAAGCTGGGGTATTATGGATTTTCACAACCTTACCTATTGTCAATGAATATGATCCAGGCAAAAAATTTGATTAAGCAAAGGATCTTCGATATAGAAAGACAACATATAAACAAGGCCAAAGTAGTTATTAAAATAAACCCCTTGAATAGATTGCGACCAATGCCGTACTTAAATGATTTAGAATATCCTGAAACTAGAAGGGCCTTTATGTTATTGCACATGGACTTGTTGCCATCTGCGATGTTTCTGGGAAGATACGATAATACCCCCTACGAGAGTCGGCTGTGTGTATGTGGTCAGGTGACTATAGAGACACTGAGTCATGTCATCCTAGAGTGTAAATTTTATGAGCAGATCTGGGAATGGTTCATAAAACCTAGTATACCTTCCTTGGAAGGCAAAGATAGAAAGGAATGCCTTCAGAAGCTTTTGGGAGGATAAGAATAAAGAGGTAACAAACAGAGTGGCCAAATGTGGATGGCTGCCGATAAAACAAAGGGATAACTGGCTAAATAATAAGGATAGAATAGGAAGTACTTGGGATATAGTATAGAATATGAAGCTGATTAGTGTCTATATAGTTATCAGATGTACAACCTTACTATTGTTGTATCATTTTATTGTGCCTTCACAACCTTACTATTGTTGTATCATTTTATTTTGCATTCTAATGTATATGTATATATTCATGGTTTTAAAGGCCAGTGGCTATAATAACTTTTTATGTTGTGGGAATACCTCATACCCCATCTGAAGACCCACCTGAAATGACTTGGCTTTTAAAAATGAAATATGTGTACATTTTAATCCACTTGTATTATGTTTTTAATCCAGCATTTTGCAAAGTATGTATTTGTATTTGTACATTTGCTACCTCTGTGGATGTTCAGCTCGCACCAAGCTTGTGTATACATTTATATTTATACCTATGTATTAAATTTGTGGAAGTTGGATGACCAAAGTGGTCAAAACAATAAAGACTGACTTACTGACTGACTGTACAGTAGTGATGCTGAATGTTTTTTAAGACTTAAAGGTTACATTGGATGTTGTCTGTGAATTACCCCAAGGCTCAGTCCTGGGCCCGGTGCTCTTCAGTATTATTGTTAATGGATGAGGGGGTGTAGAGAATGCTTGTCAGATTTGCAGATGATAGAAAATTGGGTGGAATAGCTAATACGTTATGTATTCACATACTTGCATTTGCTCTTTTTTGCACCCAGACATTTATGTGTATGTTGATACGAACTGTCTTTGTTTCTTGATAACGTGTGATTATCCAGGACAATTTTACTAAAGCTTCCTTCTCAACCTAGGACCCTGATCACAGATGCGACATAGTCAGTTTTTAACTTCTTTATTCGTGTTTTTTGTTAATGTCAAGCCAGATGAAAATTTCTGAGGATGTTAAAAATTTGTTCACTATTGTAATACTTTTGTTGGTCCTATTGCCTTTGGGATTTCTTGTCAGTTGGACCAATGTGGCTACCTATCTTTTTGTGTGTGGTTGTTATGCTGAGATAGAGATCAATTTGGCAGTCCTGTTTTAAAAAATAAACAAAACTGAAGTGATGCACACGTATACTGTGACCTGCAGCAATGTCTTTGTATCATGCATAACCGAATAAAACATTTGCAGTGTAATTTTTGTCTGTTTTAAAGCTTAACTACACTGTGGCTATTATCTTGTGGGGGGAAGTTAAGATTTTTGGGACCTGAATTATTTTCTAAGTGAGAATGTACAAACAGAAAGTTATCCATTTTATAGAAAGGATAATATATAGCTGAGTGTATTCCTCATTATTAATCTTTTAAAATATTTCTGTTTCTACATTTCTGAACTTGTATTTCTTTAATGCATGAATTTTAAAATATTCTTTTGAAAATGGTTGTAGAGTCTCCGGTGGATGAGACCTGCAGCTGAGCAAAGCTTTTCCTGCTAGCTTTTTTCTAGTAACAGAAGATTGTAGTAGAATGCATTGAGAATGCTCATATTTTCATTTAAAATATGTCTCCTTTTTCATTTGAGTAGTTGCTGTTTATTATCTAGGCATATATTTCTGTGCAGAATTTAAACATCCAGTAAGCTATTTTAGACACATATTTTAAGATTACACAGCCATGTCAGCACCAAAGCCTGTGACACATTTCTTAAAGGAATAAAAAGTACCATAAACAGCCCTGAGAAAATATCCTGCCTTCATTTAAGTATATTTTGAGCATAATTGATTCAAGTATATTTTGAGAGTACGAATTTTACAGACTTAAAGTTCTTATTTATTTTCAGTGCTTCTTAATTTAAAAACAAATGTTAAAATGGGAAATGTCCAGAATGGCTTTCTTTGTAAGCAGATGGCAGCATTTATTTTATTTTTTTTACATTTGAGGTTTCTTCATTTATTATGATTCTGATTTTGTATTTGTTGATGCTTTTATGTTGTTTTTATTTTACAATTTTGAAGTATTATACATGTTGCAACTGGAGATGGGCATGAACCAGAAAAATGGTGGTTCCGTAGCCACAATCTATCATGAATCCTTTAAAAAACAAACCAGTTGCACTGCCTCATCACCTCCCTATCTTGTTTTAAAACTGCTGCCGCCATCCTGTGCAAGGAGTCAGACCTTCTGTCTCTGTGTATGCACCAGCCACTCAGATGACAGGTGGGCACATGTGCAGAGGCAACAGGCCCAGCTTCTGTGCAAGGAACCAGGCCTGCTGCCTCTCAGGATGATAGAGGCGGCTTGAATACATGCTAGAGAGGCAATGAGAAAGGGCGGACATCCCCAAAATGAAGCATTGAGCGGAAAAAAGTTCAGCAAATTTCCAGGAGGAGTGTAACCCCATCCAACATACTGTATTTTTCCCTGTATAAAATGACACTTCCTGCTTTCCCCCTACACTTTCATTGCAAAAAGCTGCTTTCCCCCTCCACTTTTTGCAACAAAAGTGAAGGGGTAAAGCAGCTGTTTGCAAAGAAACTGTAGGGGGAAAGCACTTTCCTTGCAAGAAAGTGGAGAGGGAAAGTAGGAATCAGAGCGCTTTGAACCTTTCCACTTCCCTCTCCACTTTCTTGCAATGAAAGAAATTTTGCGTTAGAAAAGTGAGGGGTGTCTTATACATGGGTGCGTCTTATAAATGAACAAATACAGTATATAGCTCTCTGCAGCAAATCTTGGGTTCACATAGGCTTTGTGTGTGGAGTGTTTGATGAGCCCCATTTACAAACTCTAAATGGGTTAGAATTATTGGTTCTCCCTGCAGTAGGAACAGTAACTTTTTGGCCAGGGCGATGATGTGTTCATTTTTGCCCGAGAAGAAAAATGGATGAATGTTGGGTTTTTTAAAGAAATTTTTAGAAAGTATGCTTTACTTCTAAAGGTGCAAGTATGAGTGGAGACCTACCTTATTCAGTTAATTTTATTTTTCACACTATCTTTGATTTTCCTTCTGTATGTTATTATCAATAATATGTTAAAATTTGTGTTTAGAACAGAATTTGAATAACTCAAAAAGTAGATTTGGTAAAAGTGAAACCTTGGGATAAAAAGCATAAAACAGCAGTTTAGCAGCATGAGTGTTGCTTAGGTGTTAAATGTTGGTTGGGGCAAAACTTTGTTTTTGTTTTTAAAAAATTCAAGTTGTTTTACCTAACAATTTCAGAACATAAAAGGCTTTTCTTGTCAGTTGTGAAGGGCAAGAAAAGTTGGTACTGTTATCCAAAAAAAAAGGCAGAAATATCATTGTTAGAAAGAGAAAGGACATTCTAAAAATCGTGTTAACACAAATTCCAACAATTGTGTTAAATGAAAAAGGGTAAAGATGTTACAATTTAGAGGAGAAAGATACTCTGTTTCCCTGAAAATAAGACCTAACCTGAAAATAAAACCTAGTATGATTGTTCAGGATGTTACCCCCAAATAAACCCCAGTTAAGTGAAAACCCACCTTCCACCATCGTGCAGCGAACAGAAGAAGATGACATGACTGTATTTGAGTAAATGTAGATTGTTCTACATTGTACATGAAAAAATAAAACATCCCCTGCAAATAAGCCCTAATGTTTGTTTGTTTTTGGAGCAAAAGTTAATATAAGACACTGTCTTATTTTTGGGGAGACACGGTACATATGTGGCAAGTGTCCTAGAACAGCGGTCCCCAACCTCCAGTCTGGTGCCAGTCTGTGGGCTTCCCAAGACTGGGCTGCGGAGATGGATCTCTGCCCCCCACCTGGTGGGAGTGTCATGTTCGCGGGTGGGCATGTCGCGCTGGTGGATGCGCGTGTCATGTTTGGTGGGCTGGTTGTGCTTGTGCACCTGTGAGCATGACATGCCCGCCCCGCAAGTGCAGGGGTGCCCACTGCGCACGAGCCTGCCCCCCAAACTGGTCCAAAGAGTTCCACTGTTGATTGTGGGTTCATCCTTTTCTCAAGATTTGTGAAAACATAGACAGAACATTCAAAATAAAGTTCTTGTGTTCTAATTACACTTTCTTTTCCACAATAGGAGCTGTTGCACTAAAGAACCTTGAAATAAAAGAAAATGCACTGGTAAGTATGAAGCAGAAATGTATTAACTGTTGTTGCTGAAGTTGACTTCAGAGTAAAAACTACCATTAAGCATTTTAGGATATTACTCAAAATCTTTTGAGCTTGGAATTTATTTATTTAATATATTTATATGCTGCCTTTTTTCTAAAAAGCTTCCAAGATGGCTTACAGTATTAAAAAAAACAATATTAAAAACTAAAACAATAAATTCGTACAATGTTAAAAAAGAATTAACAGCTGTATTTAATTAAATATTTTAATTATTTAAAAATTAAATAAAAGGAGTATTAAAAACACATTAAAATAACAAGACATATAACAGTCCCTTTAAGAACCTCTTTATGGAATGGGCTCCTGTTGGAGATCCATCGGGCCTCTTTCCTACCTAGTTTCAAGAAGATGCTCAAGACTCAATTCTTTAGGTAAACATTCAAAGACATCCATCCCCTGAGATGGCTGTGGGATCTGAATCTATTTGACATCACCAGCATCTGTTCTAGATTATCTGTTGGAGTCTTAGCCTATAATTTTTGGTTTTGATTGTTTGATTTGATAGTTGTGTATTTGAGGTTTTGATTGGCCTTGGTGGTGGTTCAGGGTAGTCTATACATTGTTAACTGCCCAGAGTAGTGGAAGTCACTAAGCAAATAAATAAATAAATCAACAAATAACTTCTCTTAGTCAGCCGATCACTAAAAGAAAGCCTCTCTTAAGAGAAAGGTCTTTGCCTGCTTTTGGAAGGATAGCAAAGATGGCCTTCTGTGGGAGGAAGTTACAGTCTGGGAGCATCAACAGAACATGCCTTCTCCTGTTTCTCCACAAGATGCACCTGTGAAGTTGGTGGGACCAAGAGAAAGGCATCCTCTGATAATCTAAAAACCCAGGCAGGCTCATAAGGGTCTTTGAGATAGGTTGGACCTGAGCCATTTACAACTTTATAAATTAAAACTGGCACTGTAAATTCTGCCCAGAAATGCACTGGCAGCCAGTGGATCTGCTGTAATAGGGTTATGTGATCCCTATCACCAGCTTCAGTTGGCAGTCTGGCTGTACATTTTGGACCCATTGAGGTTTTTGAACACTTTCCAAAGGCCATGTAGAGTGCGTTACAGTATTCCAGCTGGGATGCAACTAAGGCATGTGTGTAATAAATCAAATACTGCTCAGATCTCATCAGAAATCATGTAGTACCTATAAAACTAATTAGTTTTTATATTGCGTAAGCTTTCGTATGTCCAAGCACACTTCTTCAGGTGAATGGAGTGGTTGTGTCTTAATCAATGATTGTTAAGTCCATCTCTGGCTCAGAAATGATATTATTAGTGTGGTATCATAGATAGAATGATGAATTAGGATTCACGGAGTCTGGATCCAAATCCCCAGGCAGCCATAGAAACTCACGGAAGGTGTGGAACTGGTAAAGCCACTCCTTAAATTTCTCACTCACCTTAAAAACCCTGTTAGGATTGCTGTAAGTTGGTCTGACTTAGCAGCACATAGGAGAACTAACTTTAAGCATATTTTTACTTCAACCACATAAATACCGGATAAACAAAATCATTCTTAATATCAAATAAGATCCTTTGATCAGTGTTATGATCAAGTATCTTCTGTCTCAGATCTTTACATTACACAGAACCCATAAATTAGATATGGGAAGGCCTGGTGACAATCCAACCCGAGAATGAAACAGTTCTACCTTCAGTTCCTCTCTCCTTGTCTTTATATCCCTAGTACTGGTGATTAAATTTGTAAATAATTTGCTGTTATAAGCCAGGACAAAATAAATAAAACATTTTTTAAAATTGTGTAAGCATTATTTGCATGTACATAACCTGCTGGTGCATAAAATGACCTGTAGATTCTAATGCAAACATTGCCAGTAACTTACAAGGACAGGTCTCTGACTTCTAAAATCATGCAAAAGGAATAGCACGAGTATAAAACTGCAGAACCTCATATGCAGATAGACTGCATGTGTGATCAAGACAATGCTTATGTGTGGACCCTTTATGTATAATCTGGTGAATAATCTGCACTGGGAACTAGACAGGAGGAGTGTTTCCCCCTTGGTTCTGCTGGACCGCTCCGTGGCTTTTGATATCATTGGCCGTATCCTTCTGGGCCATCTCTGAGCCATCTCTGGGATGGGGCTTAAACAGACTGTTTTACAGTGGCTCTAGTACTTCTTGTTGGGGAGAAGCTAGAGGGTGATCCTTCAGGGTTCTGTTTTTTCTCCTATATTCTTTAATATCTATATGAAACTGCTGGGAGAGATTGTCTGAAGTTTTGGGGTTCAGTATCACCAGTATGAAAATGACACTCGACTCTATCTTTCCCATTTAACAGATGAATAGATTCATAGAATAAGTTGGAAGGGGAATGTAAGGCTGTTGAGTCTAATACTCTGCTCAATGCAGGAATCCGAATCTGAGGAAGCTATTTTGGATCTAGATCAGTGTCTGTTATCAGTAATGGAATGGATGCGCTCGAATAAACTGAAACTTAATTTAGGCAAGATGGGGTTCTCCTGTTTAGTTGAAAGGAAGATCAAGGAATATGGATGCAACCTGTGCTGGATGGGGTTAAACTCCCTCTGAAAGCACAGATACGCAGCTTAGGAATGCTTCTGGATTCATCTCTGGGCCTGGATGCCCAAGTTTTGATGGTCTTTTCACAGTTGAAACTAGAATGCCAGCTGTGCTTGTTCTTGGAGAGGTCTGATCTGGTCATGGTGACAGATGTCCTAGTTACTGTATTTTTCCATGTATAAGATGATACTTTTGTCTAAAATCTTTAGACTAAAAATTGAGGATCGTCTTATACATGGAAATAAGGTGAGGACAGAACAAAAACAAGTGGAGGGGAAAGCAGGGATCAAAGCAATCCTGTGGCTGCACGGAGCAGAGGGAGAGATCAAAATGATTGTGCAGCCGTAGGATAGCTTTGATCCCTTTCCCCCCTCCATTTGCTGAGCCCTGCTTAGATTTCTTAATTTTGGGTTAGAAAAGTAGGGGGGGGGGAAGAAATCTTATACATGGCGGTGTCTTATACATAGAAAAATATGGTACCTCCCAGGTGGATTACTGTAATGTGCTGTATATCAGGCTGCCTCTGGAAAGTGCCAGGAATAGAGATGGGACATTTGTATTCATCTCTCAGGGAAAATGCATACAAACATCACCTCCACAGGTGACCAGGCCAATTGAACACCAACCCCCAGAACCAGGCTGTCCACTTACCTCTTGCAGTGTGTGGGGCTGTTGTCATTCACATTGAGCCAATCATGGAAGTAGCCTGGTGGGGGCTTCCCCACCTCCCTGTGCTGCTGACGAGTCTGGCGAGGTGGTGAGGTGACAAGTTTCCCTGCTCAGCTGCTGAGTGGTTAGCAGTACGGGGAGGCGGGGAAGCCCTTGCTGGGCTACTTTAAGAGTTGGCATGGTGTGAATGACAACATCCCCACATGCTGCACTGCAAGTAGTAAGTGGATGGTCTGGTTCTGGGGAGACAGTCCAATCGGCCCACCACCTGTGGTGGTGATATTCATATTCATCTCCCCGGGAGACAAATACAAATACAGTGGTGCCTCACATAACGAGTGCCCCGTTTAACGAGGAATCCGCATAGCGATGCGGATTTTGTGATCGCTTTTGCGATCGCATTGCGATATTTTGAATGGGGGAAAATCACATTGTGATGATCGGTAAGCGTTTCACTTACCGATCTTCGCATTGCGATGTTTCCCCAACAGCTGATCGGTGGTTCAAAAATGGCCGCCAGGACAAGAAAATGGCCGCCCACAGCATTTTCGCGCCAATTCCTCGCTTACCGAGGCAGCGAAAATGGCGGCCGGATTGAGGATTTCCGCTTAGCAGTGAGTTTCCCCCCATAGGAACGCATTAAACAGGGTTTAATGCGTTCCTAAGGGGTTTTTTGCCCCCGTATAGCGACGTTTCCGGATAGCGACGATTTATGTGGAACGGATTATCGTCGCTATGCGGGGCACCACTGTACCAGGAAATTTCAGCAGGCCCAAAATACTGTACAGCAGCCAGATTGCTGACTAGGCTGTTTACAGGGGTCACCTAAACCCCCTGTTACAGCAGCTCTACTCACTGTCATTTCTGGGCATAATTCAAAGTCCTTGTTTAAATGTATAAAGCCCTAAACAGCTTGGGTCCAAGCTATCTTAAGGAATCTGTATCCCATTATGAGCCTGCTTGTGTGTCAAGATAATCCAGAGAGAATTTTCTCTCAGTTCTACCACCTTCATAGGCATGTTTAGTGGACACACAAGGGATGGCTTTCTCTGTTGCTTCTCTCAGACTCTGGAACGCCGTCTCACAGGAAGCCAGGCTGGGTCCATCTTTGCTGTCCTTCCTCAAGCAGGCAAAGACCTTTCTCTTCAAGCATTCTTTTCCTTAGTGATTGGCCGTCTGAGAGGGGGGTTTGTATGGATTGTTGTGCTCTGTTTTTTTTAAATATTATTTTTAATATTGATTTTATTTGCAGGTTTTAATATACTTGTTTAATTCTTTTTAGTACATATTGTAATTACTGTTTTTAGCTTTTGAATACTATTTAAAATCTATTACTATGCTGTAAACCTCTGTGGGTCCTTTTAAGGAGAGAGGTGAGATAAAATATTTGGAATAAATATTTTAAGGAAATAAATAAATAAATAATCTGGAACATAGTTTTTTTTCTCCCAGAGTTCTTAAGCATACAGGCAGTCTGCAGTCCACTAATTCTATGCATATTTTAAGCACAGTGTATGTAACACAGGGGTCATAAAGTCAGACACAATCATGCTTTTTATTGTGCATTTATTATGTATGTAAAACCACATAGGCTCTATCCTGTACATAAAACAATTATTGGGGTTATAAAGGTAAAGATTCCCCTTGACATTTAGTCCCGTCATGTCCGACTCTAGGGGATGGTGCTCATCCCCATTTCCAAGCCATAGAGCCAGCGTTTGTCCGAATGTATAATTGGTACCTGTACTGTTTAATCTCCTCTTTATAATTAGACAAATTGTATCGAATTGGGGATTTCTATAGATGAAGCTATCAATGTGCTAGCACTTGTGCTATTTGGCAAGATAACTGTTGTATGGCTGGTTGTACAATTGGTTGTGCACAATCAGATGTGCAACATAAACTTTGCCAAATAAGATGACAGCCTGTACAATGTTCAGAGCACAGTTAGAAATCCATAACAGATTGCTGGCCACAATATTTAATGGTCTCATTGTATTTCATTTTAAACTTGGTCTTCAGCATACACAGTGTTCTTTGTGGAGATGTGTAAGGCTTGTATTACTAATATACAGCACATTTTTTTCTAAAGTAATTAAAAATATTTGTCTTCACAGTATCAGTTTGATGTACCATTTAAAGTTAAAGCAGGACACATTGGTAAGTTAAGGATTACAATTACCATATTTTTCTGTTTATAAGATGACCCAATATATAAGACAACTCCCCCTTTTCTAAGCCCCAAATTTGAAAATTTGAAAATTTGCACAATCACACCCCTTTGGTCCTAAAACCCTTTCATGGTTGCTTCATGATCAAAGGGGTGCGAGCATCCCGCCCTTTCACGGCTGTATTACCCACTTCCTAAATCCCACAGGGCTTAGGAAGTGGGTAAGGCAGCCATGAAAGGGCAGCACGCTCGCACCCTTTTGATCCTGATGCCTTTTCATGGCTGCTTCAGGATCAAAGGGGTGCGAGCGTGCTACCCTTTCATGGCTGCTTTACGCAGCGGCTTCACAAAAGGCAGGGAAAGCTGCTGCCTTCCATGTATAAAACAACCCTCAATTTTTTGTCTAATTATTTAAGGAAAAAGTGTTGTTTTATACATGGAAAATATGGTAGAATGATGGATGTTTTGAATTTTTATTTATCATATGTTATAAAATGTGTATGATTGCTTGCTTATCTGACAGCATATCTCAGTGAACAAAATAGCAGTTACTTCAGAAGAAAAAGGTCCACAAGTTCTTTGACTGGGTGACAAACCTGAACCATATGAACAATTACATAGCAGTGTTAGGTGTCCAGAGAATTCTTTTATTTGTTACTTAGCCAATTATTCGAGTTTTTTCCCCCTGGTTTTATTATGGCAGCAAGCTGTTTAAATATTGATTCATTATTCCTTTGACAAGGAATGTGCTGCCTTCTGTTGCTAGGTTATATCCATAGCTTGCCTATATATATATATTCTATAGAATATATTCTATTCTGTAGAACCAAAAATAATTGACACCTGGTTTAAAAATTGCAATTCCCCTCTTTCCAAATTAATTAGGCTTCTTTCCCTACTGTGCTACTTTTTGTACAGCTTGCAATAGATAGTCCCTCACAGTAATTTAGTCTATAATTGGCAGTCTAATAGTGGCATCTAATACATGAGGGAGAGTGTGTGCCCTTATTTTTTTTGCTTTGTTTGGTTTGTCTTTCATATATACGGTACTTTCCCAGATATATCCATAATATTGCTTAAATTCTGATTCACGTATTCTTATTGTTTGTTATACCTTTCATCTTTTATTTTTGTTTTCCTTGATTCACTGTCCATAGATTTTTTACAGTGTTCAGAGAAATATGTATGAGGTTTTATTTGATCTTCTAAACAACCATAGCAATTTTGTCTGAAATATGATTAAAGGATTCTTTTTTGAATCCTGATAGTGATAACCAAATCCTGTGGTGATCCAAGACACTTCTGCCTAGTGAGATGTCTGGGGGGTCACAACTGGACATAGCTTAATCTGTTGCAACCCTGATGCATTGGCAGTGCATGGATATGGACTGAAATCTTGTAACCCACCTGTTGCCAGAAGCACAATCCCACCCACTGGATGAAACAGGGAAGTGAGGTGCAAAGGTTACAAATCATGTAAAACATATGTAGTTTCTTGCAGCCTTGCTTGCAGTGATCAAAGGCAACACACTACTGACTAGACGTTATGAGGCTTGTGCATTCTGAGCTCCAGGAAGTCATACCCTGATGATATATGTAGGAAATTGATCCTATATGCCAGTGGTCCCCAACCTTGGGTAACCCAGGTGTCCTTGGACTGCAATTCACAGAAGCCTCCACCATCAGCTGTGCTGCCTGGGGTTTCTGGGAATTGCAATCCATGAATATTTGGATTGCCCATGGTTGGGAACCACTGCTCTACAGCAGTGGTCCCCAACCTTGGACCTCCAGATGTTCTTTGACTAAAACTCCCAGAAGCCTTCACCATCACCTTTGCTGGCCAGGATTTCTGGGAATTGAAGTCCAAGAACATCTGGAGGCCCAAGGTTGGGGATCACTGCTATATGCCATTGAGAAAATGGCCTCTGCCAGACAACTAAGATCAACTGTGACAAAACAAAGGAAATTTTGAACTGTAAAAGGATGATATTTTCCAGGGACTAGCAGTATTAGCAAACAGACTCCATTGTTTATGTGGTACTGCCTCTTCCATTTGTTTCAGCCTGAGAGCTTGCCAGACCTCACAGAGAACCATGTTTATCATCAGTGTGCTGTTTTCTAAAGAAAAGTTTACCATTTGTTGACATAAACATTGTAGGTTGAAATTCATTACTTAGTAATGTAGTGCTTTGAATTGCTCAGCATGTCACCTGTTGAGACCTCATTTTAAGTGATATGCATTATCCATTTTATTATGTATGGATAAAAAGATGTTTTTATGTTTTGTTTCTTTGGTCATGAAAGTGAAAATATCGCTTTTGGAGATGATTTTGTGATATGAAATGAAAAGACTGTAATATAAAAGGGCTAATTAATTTTATTTTCCTTTACCAAAATATGCTGAAGAAGAGTCATTCAGTTATCTTTAAAGTCTAAAGTCCCTGTTTCTGTTTTTGTAATGAGAACCTATGGCTGAATTTAATGCCTAGGTCTTTAGATAGTGAGAATGGCCCTTTCTTTCAGACACGGATCACACCAAAGTGTTTCAAAATAACTCATTTAGATTTTTTTGTTTTAAGTTATGAGGGATTGAAAAGCAAAACAAAATTTAAGAAAGTCAACCGTCAGTAAATTTGCCAAGAATTTTTAGTTCTTTCAATGTCATTATATAAGAGCACAACACAGGATGGAGTGAGTTCAGGATAAGGAAAAAGGAAAAAGAAACCAATTGCACAGTTGCAAGATGAGGGATACCTAGCTCAGCAAAACTACAACCGAGAAGGATCTTGGAATTGTCATAGATCACAAGTTGAATATAAGCCAACAAAAAATATGGCTGCAAAAAGGGGCAGTGGTATTTTAGGCCGCATTAACAGAAGTATAGTCTTCACCCCACTCCACCCAACCCTAAACTTGGCACTGGTCAGGCCTCATATTGAGTATGTATGTATGCATGCATGCATGTATTTATTTATTATCTGGCTGCAGAGCCAGAGGTTGGGAGTTTGTTCCCCCACTGTGCCTTCTTGACAGGGGCTGGGTTCAATCCATAGGGTCCTTTCCACCTCTGCAGCGCTAAGAGTGTTATTTATATGCTGCTCCACTAGTGCAGTGCACTATTCTTGGCAGTTTAAAACAATAATGAATAAAACATTTAACTGTTAGTTATATAACTACAGTCTGGACATTGCACTTTAAGAAGGATGCAAACAATTTGAAACGAGTGTAAAAGAGAGCAGTAAGGATGATCAGGGACTGTAAACTAAGGTCTATGAGGAAAGACTGGTAGAACTGGACATGTTTAGCATTTAGAAAAGAAGACTGAGGGGAGATAGGATAGTATTTTTCAAAAAATTAAAAGAGGTGGGCAGGATCTGTTCTTCATCATCCCAGAGAGTACAGGACACGTACTCAAGTTACAGGAAGCCAGATTTTGGCAGAATATCAGGTAAAACTTTCTGTTAGAGCAGCACAAGGGAGCCAATTACCTTGTGAGGTGGTGAGTACTGCAATGCTGGAGGTATTCAAGAGAAAACTGGGCAACCATCTGTCACATCTACTTTGATCTGGATTCCTGTGCTAAGCAGGAGATGTGTCACCTGGAAGTTGTGTGTGTTTTTAAAATAGCTCTGTGGAGGCCTAATTGTGGTTTAGGGCATATGGATGTCTTTCTCTTGACATATTCTTGACAAAAATATGCCCTTCCCAAAAAACCCTCTCAGGAGTGAACCCTCCGGTGGTGTTTCCCAGTTGGAATGGGGTGGCATGCTGGAACCCTGGTATAGAAAAAATAGTTAATTTTCTGGGTACAGTTATCTCATTATTCATCAAACACCTCTCACTTGATGTTTCTGTAAAAAAAATACAGTACCAAGTGACAAATCTGATGGTATGTCTGCTTCAGCCATGGTTGTGTTTTGAAAACCACAGAAATATCAGGCCATTATATTTCTCACTAATCAAATGCTTACTTTAATAAATCTTACTTTACAGTAGAAAAATATCATTACAGAGGTTAACTAAGATTTGTTGCATATATTTTTAAATTTAATATATTTTTTGTTTATTATATTTATAGGTCAGCTCAATTTGCAGATTCCATGGAAAAATCTTTATACTCAGCCAGTGGAAGCTGTCCTAGATGGAGTTTACTTGCTTATAGTGCCTACAGCTAGTAAGTTCATTAAGAAAGTGGACTGGAACAGTTGTTAAACATAATTTTTTAAAAAGCTTGTGTAAAATTTCTGTCTTTTAAAAAATCATACAGTTATTTTCAGATATATGAGCTATAGTATATCACAGAAGTGAGTACACCCCCTCACATTTCATAAATATTTTAGTATATCCTTTCATGTGACAACACTGAAGAAATGAAACTTGGCTACAATGTAAAGCAGTGAGTATACAGCTTGTATAACAATGTAAATGTGCTATCCCTTCAAAATAAGGCAACATACAGCCATTAATTGCTGGCAACAAAAGTTTTCCCATTATAGTGTTCTTATTTGTGGCTAAGTACAAATGCAAAATAGTCAAAGCATATATTGTATTTCATTTTGCTTGAAAAACATTATCAAATTAGCTTCCTCATTGATCTGGGAACATATCTGTAATTGTTCCATTTGTTAGAAAGTTTAAGAAATTGGTTCTTTGTGTTATCATTGTTTTATGGTTTTAAAGATATAATACATTAAATTCATCTGTTTGGTCAGGTATTAAATATGATGCAGAAAAAGAAGAAAAACAACAATTGGAAGCAAAGCAAAGGGAATTACAAAGAATAGAGGATGCAAAACAGAAGATTGCTGACCAAGGTAAAGAGAAATCAGATGCCTTTTTGTTAATTTGGAGCAGGAATTTGGCTAAAACTCATAAGAAAAATGAACTTTAAGTAGAATACTAAATATGTTTACATAGGAATAAGCCCTGTTGAATTCAGTGAGATTAATCTTCTGATAGGAATATTTATACTAGAGATTTAATTTAGCAATGAGTTAAAGCAAACTGGACCCTAGGTAAGATAGCATGATGGTAGGTGATGGGTTAGGGACTGCATTCCTCCTGTTGTGCCTCTGTCATAGGGCAAAACTTTAGTGCCTTTGCTGCTCCTTATGAGATCAGCTCTTCATGTAGGAGTGAAGCCACAGAATTAGTGGGATTCCAGACTACGAAACTGGAGAGTATATTCATAAAGTTGCCATGTTTGATGATGTCAAAAGCTCTTGATATGTCCAAGAAAGTTTGTAAGGCTGTGTCCTCCTTTCAGCCTATGCTATCCATCAGGAAGATATCCATAGTAGTATCCGTACTGAACGTAAGGGTGAAGTCAGACTGAAATAGTCCAGAGAATGAGTCTACATAAATAATCCCAGAGCACCTGAATTTGAGCAGCTGCCTCTTAATATTTGTGGTTATGTATTATTTAACTTAGATTTACTTTAAAGTGTTTATATTTCAAAGTTTTGCTTACAGTTATTTTATAACTGTGGTACATGTTTTTTCCAAAGATAAATGTGTCATGGTTTGGCCTCTCCTTTGCAAAATCTCGTAAGAGGTATTATTCAGTATGGATTCAGATAAATTGGTTTACCACTTAGTGAATTATTTATGCAATCACAAGCCCTCAAGTAAGATTATAATACTAAATGCAAACTCCACTTTGATGTGTATATTCCTTTTTGTGTGCTTGGTGGTACTTTCAGGATAGCACTAAGCAAAATGGTTAAGTATGTATTTGTTGAGCAGCCCAGTAGCATAGTCCCTTTTCTGGAGGAAGGGCAATCTTGGGGAACTGCCAGCCTGCCATTCCTCTGAGTCACAGCAATGAGGCATGGGAGGGATAGCATTGTGTTGCAATTTTTCATTGTTTTTGCTCAGTACAGAAGTCTCATGACATCTTTAGGGGGAATATGTTTTTTTCTCCCAGAGAGGACTGGCACCTAGACATTCAAGGTTGGCTCTGCCATATTTTTTTCATATGCATTTTAATATGTACTTAGTCTTTTGTATTTTACAATTGGCACCAGTGTTTTCTATGTGAGATATTTAGAAGTTTGTTTCTAAACCTAGAAAGGTATAAATAGCATACAGAGTATGCGTGATTTAGTGTTTTCACATTATTAGGCATGTGGTTAAAATACATAGAATGGAAATGCTACCCTTTTAAAAATCCTATCAGTGTATGCTTACTAACATTAGTTATCCATTTCCTTTTATTTAGATAAACCAGAAGAGAAGCAAGATACCTTCATGGAAAAATTAATTACCCAAGTTATCAGAAATCTTCAGCTGAAAATTTCCAACATCCACATTCGATACGAGGACGATGTAAGTATTTGTGTATGGAATCTTTATAAATAGTTCTAATGGTTGCAGATACAGATAATTTCTATCCTCTTATTTTCTGTAATAGGACTCCTGTATCCATGTGATTGATATCTACAGATTCACTTATCTACAGTTTGCTACAACATACAAGGACACCCCTTATGGTTTTTGTCCAACTCCATTGTGGCCTTTATCCCTCCCCCTAATATCTTGTATATAGAGTTCCCTTGTATCCATGGATTCAGGTATCCAAAGTAGATTGTGAAACTGTTTTGCTGTGGATACAGGGATTCTAATGTTCTCTTATTCACAACTGTAAACTTGGCTGCAGTATTAAGGCTGTAAACATTTTTGTACACACCTGCTGTATGGTTTTGTGTTGGATTCCTTTCTGAAAGCTCTGACCATATGTTTTGAAATCTTCTAGGGAGGTAAAGCAAAAACCTGCTCTTCAGTTTCTTGAAGAAACTGAGCCTTACTAATTTCTACTAGATAATACTGTATATCCATATCAAAATAGATGTAAGTCCTTCTTGAGGTATATGGTCTAAAACAGTGGTCCCCAAACTTTTTGTCACTGCGGACTGGTTGGGGGAGGACGGGGTCTGTGTGCGGGGAAGGTGGGGCTCCGCTCGCGCGCATGCATGAAGGGGTGGGGGCACTCGTGGGGGCACACACTTGCGCGCATGTGCGAAGGGGCTGTGCGGAGGAGAGTGCATGCGGGGGGAGATGTTGTCAAGCTATTCTGAACACGTTCTTCAATATATATTGAGAAAAGATAACCTTATGTACATATTTTAATTACCTGATCTGATTACCTGATCTTTATATGCCTTTGCTTTTAAATATATATATAAACAAAGGCATATAAAGATCAGGTAATCAGATCTTACCATTAAAAGATGTACATAAGTTTATCTTTTCTCAAAATATATGGATTGCAAAATTGTTAATTCTAAATATAGAAAAATTGTCACCCAGTGACTGGTTAACATCTGATTTTGTTTTGTTTTGTTTTGTTTTTAAAGAGGTATGCTGTGCCACATTTTAACAGTAAAACTTCCACAACTTGTAGACTGTTTTTGTTTACAGTGAATATTTTTGATCTATAGTCTCTTTTTTCAGATCACAAATAAAGATAACCCATTGTCATTTGGTGTCTCGCTGCAGAATCTTAGTTTACAGGTACTTCCACATTATCTTTTTATTAATTTTAGGGAAGAAACCATGCCTTCTACTCAAATATGAACTTTGTCTTTGCGGTTTCTGAAGTTGTAACAGTCATTACATTTGTAGCTCAACTCAGGTGTAAATAATCAACAGATGATGGAAAACGAAATATAAAAACTGTTGGAACCCTGCTTTGGTGACTTATGGTCTCTGAAATTTAGTATTTATAGAAATGTTCTGCCTCACATGCAAAAGAGCTATTGAAGAAGACAATTTATTGAATATTTTTAAGGTTCTTTCTGTAAACTTTTGCAATGTGATCATGGCATGCAGGTGTGTTTGTGACTGAGAACCCTCATAAAAAAATCAAAACAAAACAGAAATGTCTATTTTGAATGCAAAAGGAATTTTAGCATAGCATAATATACGCATTGTATGCAATATATTGAAGGTAGTTGTGCTTCAGGGGAGTTCTTTGGTCATTGTGCACAACCTTGAATAATTTTATTAAGAAAACCAACAGAAAAAATTCATAAAATGGCTGGGTAGTGTGAGAGGAGTGTGTCAGAAGCATAGAAGGTTAAATGAACATCCCTGTTCAGCTGAGGAGATTATGATTATAGTATCAAGTTATATATATTGATATATATTTATCAAGTTACCAAAATATATCTTTTTAAAGGAGGGTATGGGATTTTTTTTTCTTATTTTTCACTAGGTATTTTGCAGACTACAATAGATATAGGTGACATGCATGTGTGTTGTTCTTCAGACTAAAGTACATTTGGTAACTGTGAAGTGAGTGGAAATTGCATTTTGTCAGACAAACCATGTTGTAGATCGTTGCTGGAAAAATACCATGCTCATTTGATGCTTGTACATTTATTCCTATTTATTGGGCAAAATCGTCTTGCATAGCTACACAGATATAACTTGGCATTATGCCCATGATAGCTACAGTAGCACCAAAGAGGAAGTGTTATCCATTAAGCACTTGTGCTGATGCATTGTGCAATGGTTGCAATGGAAATTGTATGGCTAGTTGCACAATCAGTTTGTGAAATTCCCTGTAGTTAGCTTCATGGCTCAGTGGTTAAACTGCAGTACTGCAGCTGAAACTGCTCAGATAGTCAGCTCAAGATTCACTCTGCATTCCATCCTCTTGAGATTGGTACATTGAGTACCCAGCTTGCTAGCAATGTGTAGCCTGCATAATTAAAAATCATAAACTGCTCAGAGAGTGCTTTAAGCATTATGGGGTAATATTATAAGCAGCACACTTTTGCTTTGCTTAATGCCTGGCACATTTATGCGGGTGTAACTTTAACTTACGCCTCCATGAATAAGATTTTGCCTATTATCTATTTATTTTTAATTAGACTGTAGCTTTATTAGTATTTTTAATGAAAATAATCAGATTGTAGTACTTATTTCAGGATAATTTCTTGCTTGTCTTCTAGACTTCAGATCAGAACTGGAATCCGTGTATACAAGATGCAACAACTAAATTGTTCTATAAGGTAAATTCCGAGGTGGAAATACAACTTGTATGAATATCTGATGCATTAAAGTCTTAGCTACTCTATAGCACCATTACCATTATCCTCAGTTCATCAATTTCAACACTTTATTTTGATGACTGGAATTGTGCCAGCAATTTACAGGTGTGTAAGTGAAATCTTGTAAGTCACAGCAGTGAATTGCCACAGATTAATGAGACTATGCCAACAAAAGTCCGAATAGTCAAAGCTATGGTTTTTCCTGTCGTGATGTATGGTAGTGAGAGCTGGACCATAAAGAAAGCAGACCGCCGAAAAATTGATGCCTTTGAATTGTGGTGCTGGAGGAGGCTCTTGAGAATCCCCTGGACTGCAAGAACAAGCCTATTAATTCTAAAGGGAATCGACCCTGAGTGCTCCCTGGAAGGACAGATCCTGAAGCTGAGGCTCCAGTACTTTGGCCATCTCATGAGAAGAGAAGACTCCTTGGAAAAAACCTTGATGTTAGGAAAGTGTGACGGCAAGAGGAGAAGGGGACGACCAAGGATGAGATGGCTGGACAGTGTCTGCGAAGCAACCAACATGAATTTGACACAACTCCAGGAGGCAGTAGAAGATAGGAGGGCCTGGTGTGCTCTGCTCCATGGGGTCACGAAGAGTCAGACACGACTAAACGACTAAACGGCGACGAATAAGACACCAGTACCAGTTGCATTCCTGTTTGTGTGGCTACAACGTGACTGGTTACAAGTCGGACACGACTAAACGACGACGAATAAGATACCAGTACCAGTTGCATTCCTGTTTGTTTGGCTACAACGTGGGTAAATGGCCATGAATACTACTAGCACAGGCAGGGATGCAACTTGTGAATAAGAGGAAACATGCTGCTCTCATTTATGCAGTTTCACTTCTGCACACATAGATCACAAGTAGGATTCTGGAATATTTTTTTAGGATCACAGCCTGAAAGTGTCTGAAGAAGTGACTAGTAGTGCATAACAACACATACTATAATAAACATGCAATACTTTATTGCTTGTTTGTTTGTTGTACAACCTTAAAGTGAAACAGATTGCCATGCCAAAACAAATTGCATACTGTGAACAGCCTTTACCCAGGCTTGCCACTTTTAAAATAACCTTGGTTTAAAGGGCTTGACTTCTGTAACCACTTGATCTAAACATATTAGGCCAAGTGGTTATAGAATGAAATAAAAATGATATGTTCTTTATTCCGAAGTAACAATTCATAAAGAAAAGAGGAGTACAAGCTTCTCTTGAGTTACAGCCCAATTGTCAAAATATACAACCTCCTTCCTTGGTTAAAAATTAAATTCTCCTCTCTCCAGGTCTTCCTCCTTCGAGCACTCCTGGATAGGCTCACCTACATTCCTGCAGCCAAGCAACTTGTTTCTTCTGTTAAATTGGCTAGAGTTCTGTTACACATACAGTGGTGCCCCGCATAGCGACGTTAATCCATTCCGGATTAATCGTTGCTATCCGGAAACATCGCTATACGGATGGAAAAACCCCATAGGAACGCATTAAACTTTGTTTAATGCGTTCCTATGGGGGGAAAACTTGCCGCTAAGTGGGAATCCTCTATCCAGCAGCCATTTTCGCCGCCTCAGTAAGAGAGGAAATTGCGCGAAATGATTGCGGTGGCCATTTTGTGCACCCGGCGGCCATTTTGGAACCGCCGATCAGCTGTTTAAAAAACATCACAATGTGAAGATCGGTAAGCGAAACGCAATGCAATGTTTACCCTATCTAAACATCGCGATCGCAAAAAACAGATCACTATGCGGATTCGTCGTTAAACAGTTATGCGAGGCACCACTGTACATTTAATCCAACATTTTCAATAGCATTTAGATTTAGTGAGGATTTTTCCTCTCAAACATTTACTGATATAAAATATTTTTGTTTGATGATGTAAGATCACTGAAGATGGCAGTTCAGTTGATTTTTACAATTTTTTCTCCCTCCCCCCAGCTTGTTCGACTGGACAATTTTTTTGCTTACTGGAATGTGAAGTCTCAAATGTTCTACCATGGTGATTATAAAGAATCTTTGGTGAGTGTTATATAATTGGTCACATTAAATGTCACAAATTGTTTCAAGGTAAGAGTTTCCATTAGGAAGTTTTGTTTGTTGAATGTGTTTGACTTGGAGTATATAAGATTGAAGCATTGCTATTTTTCTTTCTGTTGCATTCAGACGGACATCTTGTGCTATCTAGTTTGTAAGAACCCCTGTCTGGATAGATACATACTTAATTTGCATTAATTATTAAAGTATTTACTATGCTTTTTAACATACATTTCAATTCAGTGTAGGATCGTATGTAAACGTCTCTCAGCTTCACATCCCATAGCACGAACCGATGCAAATTAAGACTGGGGTCATTTGTCTTTAATATTGGGGTGGGCAACATGCAGCCTTTATGTGGCTGTTGTTGCACATAACAATTGAATTTTGTGGTGCATAAAGCATATGGACATGGGTTAACACTAGGTATGTTTTCAAAGAGAGTTTGTGCTTTTTAAAACCCAGAAATATACTTTATTTAGCCTCTGCCATCCTGCCAAATTTGGTGGTCAGGGTGTGCAATCTAAGAGAGGCTCTGGAGAAGTACAGTTGGGCCCCCAAACTGCTGAATTTCCCCATCTCCGCTTTAACATCCAGTGGAAGTAGAGTTTGGCAGGTCTGGCATACTGTGTCAGGTTCAGAGGTGTTGAATCAGCTAAACTTCCTTCTTTCATGCAACTCGTTAAGGTGTCTTCTGTGTGTCCAGTCATCATAGCAATTACATTCTCATGATAAAGCACTATAATATTTTTTATTTTGTCATGTGGAATAGTGTTTGAGTTCCATCTTCTAACTTTCAAAGTGATTCTTCAGGAAACAATCTTTCTTTGCAGAATGGGGTGGATAGTTTCTACAGATCTAATGAAAAAAATTGGCTTCCCTTCATATGCTGGGGGCTTCTAGAGTTGCTAATTTCTTGTGACATATGCATAAGAGAACTATTATTTCTACTATTTGTTTTTCACCTCAACCATGATTATTCATTGTATTTTGAGAAGCTCCCCATAAGCATTGTTAGCCTTGAAAACAAGGTATATGTGTCTCTGCATCCTGATTCTAAAGTGAGTATCACTCCTAGAAGCTACTTGAGCAATGCAGATAGTGATTGTGGAAAGCAATGGGAAAAAGTTTTAGAAGACAAAAGAAAAAGAAAGAAGACAAAAATGTTGTCGCACCTTAAAGAGTAACTGCTATATTTTAATGTGAGCTTTCATGAGCAACTCCACTTCCTTAGATGAATGGGAGAAAGATGAGCATTTGCTGTAATTGCAAATTCAATTCAATCACACATTGAATGGGACATTTGGATAGCAGAGAAGTCAGTTGGGGGACCTCTGTGGGCCATGTGTCATGTATTGTCCATCCCTAGTGTGGACTGACAATAACTATTAGATCAAGAAGAGGAAAATAATTTGATTAGGCAGAGTATTTAGGGAGTATTCATATCATTGCTGAGCAGGAAAGTACAGATTGGTCAGGAAAAAAAAAGCATTAATTGAAGGCTGTGGTTTGGTTTGGACCATCTCCAGAACATTTGATGTCCATGGGTTGGGCAGGAATGACATACATTTAAACAGAGCAAATATAAAGAGCCATGTAATCTGAGTCTCACTTCTGGTTCTTAGTCAAAACTTTATATAGTATGGAGAAATTAACACTCCACACAATCATATCAATTACCTGTTACCACAAGGACATTATTTACCGTATTTTTTGCACCATAAGACGCACTTTTTCCCCACAAAACGGGGGTGGAAAGTCTGTGTGTCTTATGGAGCGAAGAAAACAGATTATATTTTCCTGTTTTCTTCTCCTAAAAAATTGGTGCGTCTTATGGAAAGGTGCGTCTTATGGAGCGAAAAATACGGTATATGTATTACAGATTATCACATTTTTACAATACAGTCCTGTACTTAAACAGTTCTGTAACTTGTGCTGTAGAACTCTAATGATAAAACTACTACATTTGTACAAGGCATAACCTTGGGTTGAGTGTTGGCTGCTGAAAAAGTATTTCTTAGGAATAGTATTTCTCAATTATATTTTATTTTATAGTGTAATTTTTTTTGCAAGTATGCAGTTTTTAAATTTTAGTTTTACTTTATTTTTTCACCAAAAGAACAACTTACAAAATGGAGTTGCAAGCAGTAACATGATTCCAGAAGGCTACAGTTTTGGTAAGTTCATCATTATATCTGCAGTCGCACATGGATTATAATGTGATTATATCCAGATTTTGGTAAAACTACAACAAGGAGGAAACTGTGGGTCTGAAGATGGTCTTGACACAGTCTGCTGGTAGCCTGAGACGTGGCTTTTGCTAAAGCCCATTTTCTTTCCTGAAATCTTCCTTAGAAGGGCAGTTGGGAAGGCACGCAGTGTATGGAGGAACCCTGCTATTATCTCCAGTCACTAAACGGAGAGAATAGGGTGATGTGAGGATGCAAGGAGATGGATCCCTTAGTTTCCTGATCACTAAATAGAGGGATGAGTGGAATTTCATCTCACCTATTTCCTCTACTATCTGGAAAGGCAAACAGAGTGGGGAAAGATCTTCCTGTGATCTCTGATGGGTGATAGAAGAGAAGAGAAATTTTCTTTAAATGCCTCTGTGACGTTCCACCCAGTGTTCCCTGTTTGTTTTCCCCAAACCAGGCTTCACTCTGGCGACGTTTCTCTTTCATTCGATGCCACCAGTGGATATCCCTTATCCACATTCTCACAATACTTGAATCAGACACTTGCTGCCAACATAACGTGTTTATTTAGACTGAATTTGAATCACAGATTTTCTTTTTAATCATTGTATAGAATCACTCATTAAACTTCTTATCTTTGATTACACGTTCAATTCTTCATTTGTTTTATTCACTTTAACCAACGTATTAATAATATCAGTTCTCTCAAGTTCTCTATCTGTCTATCTTGACTATTCAATTTCTCTCCTCTACACTCTCATTCTCTATTTCGTCTCTCTCTCTCTCTAACTCAAACTCTTAACTGTCTAACTGATCCCGCCCCTCCAGTCCTCTCATAGGCTCATGCAAATGAGGTTTCGCTATGAGTGACAGGACAGACGTAAGGCATTCGTCACAAAGCTCTACCCCTAAAATAAGCCCTAGTTAAGTGGAACCACGCCCTCCACCATTGTGCTGCAACCAGAAGAAGATGACATGAATGTAAAATAAAACATCCCCTGAAAATAAGCCCTAATGCATTTTTTTAGGAACAAAAATTAATATAAGACCCTGTCTTATTTTCGGGGAAACACTGTCAGATCTTAAACATCCCTGTAGGAATTGATGATCAAAATTTGTAGGAAGTTTGCACAGAGAGTCTGATCAAATACTAAGCTGTGCTAGCAACAAGTTTGTCATGAGTGAAGCCAAAGATCTAGAACCTGAGGGGTTAACTGTAGCTGAGGAGAATGCTGATAGCTCCTTACTATCTTAGACCTTGTTCTCTGGACCCTTGGCTTTGGAATCTGACCCTGGACTACATTATGCATTTTGGCTTTGGACTCTGAGCCTGGACTACGTTGTGTGAGTTGGCTTTGGTATTTGGATATCGGCTCTGCATTCTCTGAATTTCTGACATAGGACTGGCTTATCGGACTCTGCTATTGTAAACCCCGGGAACGTGACAGATTGCTTCCACCACCACACTCCCCCCACAAGATGGAGGGAGAAGCAAGCGAAAGCTCGGATCCGCTGAATGCTGTGCTTACTCAAGTGCAGTTTCTCACTCAAACAGTGGCACAGCTTTAGCAGCAACAACTGCAGTCCCAAGCCAACGCTGCTTCCCAGGTCAAGTGCCCTGTGCTTCCTCCTGAAAAGTTTGAAGGAAAGGTGGAGGAGTTTCCAGCATTCCTGGCACAGTGTAAAGTGTATATTGAGCTGTGTGCCAAAGACTTTCCCACGGACAAAACCAAGGTATGCTTCATAGTCAGTCTGCTCAAGGGACAGGCAGCTAAATGGGCTACTCCTTGCTCCTTCACCCCTGTTACCCAATTACCAGGGCGTTTTTGGAACATATCTCAGCAGCTTTTGCTAATCCCTTGCAAGCTACTACTGATAAGAAGATTTGGACCCTGAAGCAGGGTAAGGGTTCAGTCTCCCAGTATTCCACTGAGTTCAGACTCTTGGATCAAGACTTACTATGGAATGAGGCAGCTCTTATGGACCAATATATGGAGGCTGATGGGATCCTGGATGAGCTGGCACATGTAGATTGACCCAGTACACTGCAAGAACTAATCACTCTATGCCTTCGCATTGATGGCCGCCTGGAGAGCTGATGCCTAGCACAGGGCGGTTCCCATCCCTTGCAGCCTCCCCTGACGTCCACCAACACTAGATAAGAGGATTCTGAGCCCATGCAGTTAGGAGCTGCTCGGCCACGCCTCATCCCGAGGAAAAAAACATGACGACGCTCCCAGAATCTCTGCCTGTACTGTGGGGGAGCAGGACACTTTGCTTCTGGCTGCTTGGTTAAGCGGTGTAACCCTGGCTCTGCGCTACCGCCGTCAGTAAAAGATTTGCCCCATGTCTGAATGGACCCTCAGACGTGGGGCACTTAGCTGGGTCCCCTGAACCCTTCATTAACATCCCGGGTCTATTCCTTCGTACCAGTGAAACTTTGCTTGTTGGATGGACGTTGCTTGTTTGTTTATGCCATGGTCAATTCTGGACCTGATCGCTGTTTCATTGACATGGCCTTTGTGAAACAGCACCAGATCCTTGTACAGGATAAAGAGACACCGACCCTAGTTGAGTCCATAGACGGGCGTTTCCTCCGCTCTGGTCCTGTGACCCAGGAAACCCATCTGGTCATTCTCCAGGTCCAACACCATCAGGAGCAACTACAATTCAACATTGCACATGTGATGGCTGTGATGATGTCCCCCGCCTGTCACTGCTATGGCTGGAGTTTATCTACCTATGGCAGGACAGGAGGTGGGACTTCAGTGGGTGGAGTTAATGTATATAAGGGGGGAGTGAATGTGGTGAAGGGAGATTTGGGAGATGGGAAGATTGGGATGAGATAGGGTTCGGTTAGGAACTTGGTTAGGGTGTTAGGGCCTGTTCATGTTATGAGGTACTGTGCTAGTGTAGGTCTGAATGAGAGAGTGATTGAGGGGGATACTTTATCACATTGATTGCCTTATTTAGTTTCCACAGTGATTTACTATTATTTATGTTTTCTCAATAAACAATCCTTTTAATTTTGAAATCCATACCATTGTCTGATAAGTCAGATCAGTAAGTGTGGTTGGTGGCAGCGTGAATAAAGTGTGAATGAGAGTGACGTGACCATTGTGACGTGAAAGGAGGACGTCACAGCACACATGCCCCGTTTCCCGCTTATTCTGGTACTTTCCTGGCTCCGAACACATAAGCTCCTAATGGAATGGACACAAGGGGAGTTGCGTTTCAGAGACCCGTGTCCGCATCTGGGTCCACCGGCTACCTTGGCTGCATCAGGGACAACAGATAGTCCCGTGATACCGTTGGAATACAAGGACTTTGCTGATGTCTTTGAGGAGAAGGGGGCTGACCAGCTACCCCACGCACCAACCCTTTGATTGTGCTATCAATTTGGTGCCTGGGGCACCCCTTCCTGTGGCACGGATCTACCCCATGTCGGAACCAGAACTCGCGGCCTTGCGGGCCTTTCTTGATAAAAATCTGAAACTGGGATTTATCCGGCTGTCCACGTTGCCCCTGTCTGCACCTGTTATCTTTGTTAAGAAGAAGGGCGGAGAGCTCTGCACCTGGAGTGATTACCAGGCCTTGAATAAAATAACCATTTGAGACCACTACCCTCTGCTGTTGATTGGTGAACTTTTGGATTGCCTTAAGGGGGCACGTATTTATACCGAGTTGGATCTCCGTGGTGCCTATAATTTGGTGCAAATCCGTGCTGGCAACGAGTGGAAGACGGCTTTTGGAACTTGTTACAACACTAAAAACCTGCTTTACCACCAAGCCCATTCTGCACTATCCAGATCCCTGACTACCATTTACTGTGGAGACGGATGCCTCCAGTGTCGCCCTGGGTGCAATACTGTCCCAGCAGGAGGATCCCTCACAGCCACTGCAGCCCTGCGCTTTCTACTCCCGGCAGTTCACACCCCCAGAATGCAACTACACCATCTGGGAGCGGGAACTTTTGGCCATCAAAACCGCTTTCGAGGTCTGGAGGCATTACCTCGAAGGGGCTCGTCACCCTGTCCAATTTTTGATGGATCACTGGAATCTGGAACACTTGCAGACAGCCCGACGCCTTAATCAATGCCAAATCCAGTGGTGTCTCTTCTTCTCCCGGTTTGACTTCCGTATTACCTACATCCCCCATACTCAGAATCGGAAAGCTGATGCCTTGTCCTGCAAACCGGAGTACACTGTTCCAACCTCTGAAGAGCCTCCGATTACACCTATCCTATCCCCTTCAGTTTTTGCAGCCACTACAACTCACTCATCCCTGGCTGAAGAAATTCAAGCCAGCCAAGCTCAAGATCCCTGGGCCAAGCAATGCTTGCAGAAACTCCTAAAGGACTCTGTTGGAGACTTTACTAACCACCAGGGCCTCCTATTACACCGTGGACACTTGTACATTCCTCCAGGGCCCCTTTGAACGTGCTCTATCTGACCCATGATTCCAACATGCTCTATCTGACCCATGATTCCCCTCCTGCAGGACACTTTGGTTGGAACAAAACTCTGTACTTACACGGGCAATCTGGTGGCCCCGGGTTCAAGCTGATGTTGCCCGTTATGTTGATTCCTGTGAGGTTTGTCGTCAAGCCAAGGACGTGCCAGCCAAACCTCCAGGTCTGCTACAACCATTACCTGTACCAGCCGTCCCTTTGGACACAGTATCTCTAGACTTCATCACGAATCTCCCACAATCACAAGGGTATACCTGTGTTCTAGTAATAGTGGACCTGTTCACCAAGATGGCTCATTTTGTCCCATGTTCCAAGCCTCCCACAGCTCCTGAAACAGCCTAGATCTACCTTCACCATGTTTTCCATCTACACGGGCTCCTGACACAATTTCCGATTGTGGTTCCCAATTCACTTCCTGGTTTTGGCAACTCTTACACACCAATTTGGGTACCCAAGTGCACTTGTCATTGGCGTATCATCCCCAAACAGATGGACAGACCAAGCGTACTAACGCCACCCTTGAGCAATATCTCCGTTGCTATACCTGCTATCAGCAAGATGATTGAGCTACCCTGCTACTCCTGGCTGAATTTGCCTACAGTAACACC